GTGCTTGGTCACCCTGAATGTTTGTCACCTTCAACTGACACTTGACCGGCCTTGAAATGTGAATGCCATTCAAAAACCACTGTCCCACTTAAAGAACATTCTCCAAAGGCCTCATGAAGCATTTCATGAATTTTGGCAGTGGATTTACCAAGTTTCATGCAAAACTGGATACACTGCTTGATTTTGCCATCCATCGTAAAAAAAATGACACACGAAGTTGAAAAAGCGTTAGAGTAAAAAAACAATGCATGTTCAGAGCACGGTGTCATATGGCAGCCTGATGCAACAGGCTTTCAGAAGTGTGACCTTGGCCTGCCCTCTCATCTTCTTTCACTAATGCAGTTATAACAATAAGTCCGGGAACTTTCTGATAGCACCTCATATTGAATGTTTTTTGTCCTTGTTGTGTTTATCTTTAAGTATATTTATCTTTTTGAATTTGTACAGGGACGTTCTTACGGTTGTTGACTGGTTCATGGCTCCGCGTTTCGCGGCGACCAGCACACAGCCGACTGTGAGTCAAATATGAATTTTGCAAATGAATGAGCATGCCTGATGGTCCATAATGTTTGGAATTAAGGGAAGTTATTAAATTTGTGGATGGCTTGATGGCATTATGTTTCACGGCAATCAATGAAGTTCATGTGTGGGAATGTGTTTATGATTTGTCAGCAGTGGGCAGCAGTTATCAACTCCATTTCTCATTTGTTCTGTTACAATTAGTGAGCAATGTGTTCTATCATGATGCGGTATACTTTAGAGCAATGTGCATGTCTGTATGACACTTTTGCCAAATACAATTCTGCTAGTAAGCACCGGTGAAAATTTTGTGATGAAAAGAGTTCCCAGGAAACAAACAATTCACAATTTGGTGAATAGACTTTCATTAACGAGACTCTTAATAGACAAAAAACAAAATAATTAGTGCCCAGTGCTCAATGTCTAGCTCAAAGACACTGGAGTGTCACAGGAGAGCGCAAGAAGGGCAACACAACTGCTGCAGCTTAAACCATATAAGACAATAGTAATAATTAGGGCCTGGATCTCTAGGACGTCATATTTTCTTCCTAGGGTTTATTCCTATTTTTAAATGTAATTGTATACATTTCTGCTCATTCTTATTCAAATTATATAGTTTTTATTGTGCATATAAATGCATATTTTAAAAATTTGATTTGTTTCATTCTGGTCTGTCACACTAAAAATTTTTCGACTTTATGCGTACTGTGCATTATAGGATATAAGTGTGTGTATTTCAAATCAAAACATCTATTGTGATGGTAGTTTCAAGCTTGTAATGATGTTCCCTCTGAAGATGGTCTATAAGGACCGAAACATGTATGGGTGATAAGTTTTCATATAGTAAAAGCTTATATGTCACATTGGACAGAGTGGTTTGTATTTGCACATTTTAAAGTTTTATTGGTTTTACAGCATAATTTGGCATAATTTTGAAATAAGGTCATATTTTTGTCATTTTAGAATAAATTCTTTGATATAAGGTACAATTTTGGCTCCATAATGTTTTGTACTATAAAATAAATTTCAGACTGCACTGTTGCTCCGATGTGGCATAGAGTTCAAGTGCATGAAGTTCGTATTAAAAAACACATTCTTGACTGGACTGTATTTGCAGTTACAAAGGCAAAATTTGTGGAATGCAACATTTATAACCTGGCTAGCTGGCTTTTCCCAGTCTCCGTCTTACTATAGTATATACCATATAGTAAGATGGAGACTGAAAAAGGCTGGCTAGCCAGGCATATACCCATTCCAGTCTTTCCTTTTTTTGCTAGTTGGATGGGACTGAGTTCCTTGCACTGCGGCCACTTCTGGCCGACTGTACCAGCCCCAGATAATAGGTGAGGGTGATTGTGGAGCAATTGGTGGAATGAAGATTGGCAGAGGAAACCAAACTACTCGGAGAAAACCCGCCCAAGCGCCACTTTGTCCAAAACAAATCCCACTTGACCAGACCCAGGATCGAACCCAGGATGCCGCAATGGGAAGCCAGCGACTAACCGCCTGAGCTATGGCACGGCCCATTCCAGTCTTAAAAGTATTCTATTTATATATGTGTGGAGGGCCTTCAAACACTTCAGCTTGACTTTACAATGCCTAGAGTACATGTAGTTCATGTTCAGTTTTGTGCAGGAGTTTGGTGAAAAAGTGTTTAGTACCGATGGACAGATTTCGTTACAAGCTGTGTGACGTGAAAGTTATGGCAGAAAAGCGACTTACTGTGCAGCAGCATTGTAAAACTTCTAAACGTGTTAAATGTTTAAGCAGATTATCTACAAAGGACAGCAGACAAAGTTTGTTGATTAAAAACAATTCTGCTAATTATTCTTCTTCTTCTTCTTCAACAAACAATGGGTCAGATTTTTCGAAAGATCTGTGTCAATGGATGGTTTCTTCAAATATTTCAATAGAGAAATGACATAATCAGCACTTCAGAACATTTCTGGAGACATACACTTGTCATCCTATCTCAAGTGATCGACGTTAAGAAAAATTATCTCTCTACATCAGCCGCGTCAAACATGCGGCCCCTCAACTTTTAGAGCTAATTGATATTAAAATCTATATTACCATTTTAGTAGAAATAATTTTTGTGAAGAAAATTTTCCAACAGACCAGAAAACAAGAAGTCTCACGCAGACATAAATTAGCAGGGTGCAGGAAATTCAATGTTTTGCTATTTCTTACATAATTTCTTGTGTAATCTCTCTTTTTACATATTGAAAAGTTGTTTGATACTTGTCAAAAATGGCATTCTCTTGCTTTTTAAAACTGTAAGATATGTGACTTTAGGTAATTATACTGAAATTATTCCTAAATAATAAATAGAATTAAATTTCCTTGTATCAAAATCCAATGTATATTTCTATTTTGAAGTGCAGCCCTGGACTATTATTTAGAGGGCTGAGGCGGCCCTCTGTACAAGGTGAGTTTGACATGCCTGCTCTACATAATATGAAGATATGTTAAATAAGATTTGAACATCTGTTGCTGACAAGATATGGGTTTCCTTGGATGAGACTTCTGACGCAGATGCGCGGTATATCGCGAATTATAGTTAGAACCCAGAAACAAGATCAACCGGGAGAGATATTTCTTCTTGATTGTGAAGTTCTTGAAAGTGCAAAGCATTTGACTACAGCTGTCGTATTTGATAATTCCATGAACATGTTGTGGCCAGATGGAATACAGTGAAATAGTGTCCTTCTCCTAGTAACAGATGCTGCTCCATAAATGAGGAAGGCTGCCAAAGGACTTCAAATCCTTTACCCAAAAATGATCCATACTACTTGCCTTGCTCGTGCATTGCATAGAGTGGCTGAAGAATTTTTAAGAAGTTTTCCGGACGTAGATAGGCTAATTCCAGATGGAAAGAAAATATTCATCAAGGCCCCTCTTCAAGTACTGAAATTTAAAAAGAAGCTCCTCCATTGCCACTTCCTCCACAGCCTATCATCACACGGTGGGGTACATGGTTGGACGCTGTGGCATATTATTGTGAAAATTACACAACCATTGGTTAATGACTTTGACAGCCGCAAGTCAAGATCAGTTAAAGCTGTCAAGGACTTCTCTACCGCTTTAGCACAAAATCTGACAGATATAAAGTCAAACGTCTGTCCAATTTCAAGTGCATTAACTTGCCTGGAAGCTGTAGGGACTGAACTCCATGATGTGTTGGACAGTGTAAAAAGCACTGAGAATGAACTAAACCGATCTCATGGTGAAGTAACAAAGAAGATTAAAACCAAAATAGAAAGTGTTCATCGGAATGCTAGTTATTCAACAATAAGCACGATTGCACATATACCTTCTGGTAAACCAGAACCATTCAAAGATGATCCAGAACTGTCACCAAACGACCTGACATTCTTCAATTATGCTCCTGTCACATCATGTGATGTGGACCGAAGTTTGTTCAAATACAAAACTATCCTTAGTGACAATCAGCGATCTTTCACATTTGAAAATATGATAACGCATGTAGTTATAAACTGCAATTATAACAGCGAAAACTGAGAAGTGAATAACTTGTGTTACAGAAACACTGAAAACCGAGAGCCGAATAAGCTTGTGTCCTTCTATGTTGTTTTTAGCTAACAGAGTTAAATTAATGTTTATATCATGTGCGCCAATGTTTGTCTAAAATATGAAGGCAAAAATCAATATTAAAAACAAAACAAGAAATGGTTTAATCCAGTATGAAATGTCACAATTCCATCAGTTTTCTTTCCTTCAGAAACACCACAGGGCTAATTTAGTAAGTAGGGCCTACTATCATATATTCATCATTTTTATTCTTAAATTCTAATAAAAGTTATAATTAAAATTGTGAAATTATATGTCCCATATAATATTTAAGGTAATTTTTACACTTTTTATGTCATACTTGATGTAATTTTGGGTCATAAGAGCATGCATATATTTACGGCTTTTTAGGTCATAAAAATCCGGGCCCTAGTAATAATGCACGCCTTGCAGCTGTGCAATCCAGCGAGCCAGGTTCATTTTTGCAGTTGGTTTCTACAGTGGATCATTGAAGATGAGATTCATCTCAAACTGACATTCTTTTCTGATGAGGAATGGGTTCACTTGCAGGGATACATAAATAGGAAAAATAATCGCTACTGGAATTCACCGAATCCACATCCAACCCATGAAGTATGGCTCCATCCAGTGAAAGTTGGAGTCTGGTTTGCTGTAAGGGCAACAAGGGTTGCTTTACCTGCGTTTTTTTTAAAGGAACAATTAATTGTGAAAGATATATACAGTTCAAAGGCTGCACCATAGCTCAAGTGGTTAGCTGCTGGCTTCTCACAGTGGCGGCCCAGGTTTGATCCCACGTCTGGTCATGTGGGATTTGAGGTGGACAAAGTGGCGCTGGGGCAGTTTTTCTCCAAGTACTTCGGTCTCCCCTGCCATCTTCATTCCACCAACTGCTTCACAATCAAATTCAACTATAATCTGGGGCTGGTACAATAGGACAGAAGAGGCCACCATAGAAGGAACTTAGTCCCACCCCACCAAGTAAAAAAAAATTATGTACAGGTGATTCTCAGACAATTCTTTCGAGAGTTACAAAAGAAAAAAGACTCTATGGCTGGTTTCAGCAAGACTAAGCTACTGCCCACATTTTACGTACATCTATGCCAGCTGTGCCTGGTACTTTCAGGGACAGAAATATCAGCACTAGTATTTGGCAGGCACATTCACCCAACCTTAATTCTTATATATTTTCTTCTGTGGTTCTTTGCAGGGCAAAGTTTAAAACAGTAAACACCACCTGGAAGAACTAAAAAGAATATTCATAGGGAAATTGCAACAATTCTGGCACAACAGCTTTAAGGGTTAATCTAAACCCCTTCTGCTGGTGCAAGGAATGTCTACATGTAGGGGGACAGCATTTTCAACAACTTCTGTGAGCTGTGAATTGTATACTTCATTCCAAATGTTACTGGCCACAGGCATACTGATACACTTGCAAAATTTGTATGCACCTTGCAGCCAGCCAGTGGTGCATTAGTCAGTGTGAACCAGCCAATGTTTAGTCACCTTTCTGTCTAACCAAATATAACAACAAAAAACATCTGTTATGACAACCAATCACCTGACATCAGGTACAGAGGCAACTCCAACAGTGTCAGGTATATTAAATTTACTTAAAACAAAAGGGCAACAGACAACACGTGTTTATAATCTGTCAAACATTATCACAAAGCTATAGAGAACCATTAGTTATCCTATAACAAATCCTCAACACAATGACACTTCTACGTTATTACATGGATACAGACTGCATCGAAGACAGAAAATAAATAAATCATAAACTTCAGCATTTATAGATCCTGGAAACTCTGTGATGTAGTAACAAAGCACTGCTTAGTGGAGTGGTACATCACACGCAACATTCAACGTAGTACAGTTGCCTAGAAACATTTCAGGGAAAAAAAAAACCCTTCAAAATCTAGTCAACAGCACAGTGGAGTTATTTCATGTTCACATAGATGGATATCAGAAAGACAAGTGGCATTTCTGCACATTTGTGTTATCTGCCTAACAGTGCACACACAGCTCACCTCAGGTTCAGCCTTTATTTCCGGAAATGTTATTAGGACAGGATCTGCATCTAAGACTGCCTCAGATTTTACATTCATGGTCTGACTTGCATCATGACGTGTTGGGTATGTCTCTCCATATGGACCCACTAAAGCCTTCTCCGAATTTGTACAGTTCTGTAAAAACCATCATATCCTTCTCAGAAATGGATACACAACACACATTAAACAGTGTATGCTGTCCTTGCTATGGCTGTTTCTCATCACATCTAACCCATAAGAGCAGTTTTGTACAAATGCTTCTCTCTACAGATATCATGATCAGCAGAAAGTACTGTTCATAGCTCAATGACCTTCCCAAGAAACTATCAGTCACTGCAACAGTACAGAAAATGTCTGCTTTTTTTTGTGCCTAAAAACATCATAATGAAGAGCTCCACAACTTGTAACCTTCGTTCACCAAGCATAATTATATGATCAAGTCAAGGAGGATGAGATGGGCAGCTCATATAGCAGGCATGGGGGAGAAGAGGAATACATATACCACTAGGAAAGCCTAGGCATAGGTGGGAAGATAATATTTACGTGGTCCTTTAAGAGACATAGGATGGGGTTGTGTGGACTGGATTCATATGGCTCAAGAGAGGGACGTGTGACAGGTTTTTGCAAACGTGAATAAACTTCCAGGTTGTATACAATGTTGGGAAATTCTTCAGTGGCCAAGCAAATGGTCTTCTCAAGGACTCACTCAGCTACATGAAGTTATTTATTGTACCTAAAAGCTAAAGTCAAGGAGGATGAGATGGGCAGCTCATATAGCAGGCATAGGGGAGAAGAGCAATGCATATAGGATTTGTTGAGAAAGCCAGAAAGGACTCATTACTGTGCTCAACATGGCTCCATATTCTGTGGCAAACACACTCAGTACAAACCCTTCCAAATTATTTCTTTAAAATCTATCTTAATAGCAAATTTCCATTTGCACTCAGGTCTCCGAAGTGGTTTTCTTCTACTAATTTGATTTATCCACTTTGGTTTTCTTCTCTTTCTATGCATTTCTCACTGTTGCATGTGCACTACATGACTTACCCACATCACTCTCCGTGAACTCATTGCTCTCCTACATAATACCCCAACCCGTCATCACCCACGTGTAAGAAACTCCCCACGTGGATTATGCAAAGAAACAGAAGCGGGTAACAAAATATTTAGTTTCTTTGAAGAAGAGAACTGACATATGGAAATAAAACTCTTGTCTGTGCACACAAGCATTAAACACAATACTTTCTCTCATAGCAAGAAATGTTTCTTCAGCTCCATACAGTATAATTCTTGCCACTCTTGTTGCGAGAAAGTGCAGAATCTTTTTTAACCTTCATCACATGAAAAATATCTTGTGGGGTTCACTGGAATTAGCTCACAAGAGTTCTGGTAATCTGAATTCTTGGTTCTAACATGTGTTAACTAACTGCGAACAGTTCTGAGACTCCATATGGATTTTTGCTGATATAGAATTTCTCTCAAATACAGTTCAGTTTACATAAAATTTAATTTCATCTATATTAGAACTGCTTAAAAGGAAATGGAAGTGGTACATCACAAGCAGCATACATTCAACAAACTACAACTGTCTAGAGACACTTCAGAAAAAGGCCTTCAAAGGTGAGTCAGCAGTGCAGTGGAGTTGTCCCATGTGCACAGACAGACAGCCAGACAGATGGAGATGAGAGAGACAACTGGAATTCCTGCCTATCTGTGATATCTGCCTAACAGTGGAGATACAGAAACATACAGCTCACCTCAGGTTCAGCCTTTACTTCCTGAACTGTTATTTGCAGAGGATCCACTTCCTCTTGTGAGTCTGAGACTTCCTCAGCTTTTATATTCACTGCCTGGTTTGCATCATGACTTGCTGGATATATCTCACCATATGGACCAACAAAAACCTTCTCTGAATTTGTACAGTTCTGTAAAGGCATCACATTTTCTATCAGTCATGGCTGTACAACACCACACATGAAACAACATATGCTCTCCTTGCTGTAGCTGTTTCTCGCTACATCTAACTATAACAGCTGCTCTGTACAGATTTCTTCTCTACAGACTTCATAATCTTAGCAAGTGTTAAGTTCATAATGCAGGGACCTTCCTGTGAAACCTGTTGTCCCTGTGGAAGTACAGACAATATGTATCTGCTCTTTATGGAACCTAAGCACTCATTACTGTGTTCACACACGCCCATCATAACTTTGCATCCTGACACAAACAAACCCAGTCCAAAACCCCATAATTGTACCTTTAAAATCCATCTTCACAACTGTCTCTCAAATGGTCTCATTCTTTCAGGTTTTCTGTCATTTCTCATTCTCGCATGCTATATGACCTACCCATATCACGATCTGAACAGCCGTTCATAGGACCTGAACAGCTTGCGGCAGCTCAACTGGAGTTCATGATTTATTTTATCCGTCTTCTAGTGCATACATTCATCTATCCCCTCTTCTCACTCTCACTACATGTTTCGGCACAAATGTGCCATCTTCAGGTGCTGGTCCAATCCACGACAAACTAGTTCATTGCATGCCTTGTCTATACATACTAAAATAACTAAAATATATATTTATCATATATACTGATAAATGTTAAGTGTTAAAATATTAAAATTATACAGCATATTTCATTCTTACGTCGTGTTTCATTACGCGAGTCACGTCTATCATCGTCTGTTGGAGCACTCTTTCACTATCGTGTATCTGTAACATGAATTTGTTATTCATTAATACCGCGTTCCGCATCCTATCTATTACTTGTGGTATTATAATTTTAATGTTTAATACTCACTGTGCTCTATGTTGCGTCTCGCTCCTGTGACTGCGTGTGTTATACTGCTGCACCTGCTGGGTATGTGTGTGTGTG